TGGGATCTTGAAATTCCGTGGCTACACACTTCTTTCAGGATTTCATCATTTCCTCAGGAAAAAAGAGTGCAGTCTGGAAAGATGCTGACTGAATCCATAAAGAACCTGGTACAGAAACATCAAAGATTTTCCCTAGGGAAGCTTTGCAATTGCTCTTTCTGGAAAGGTTTTTTTCATGTTGAGAAACCAGAAAGAAGGGCCGTGACTCACAGTCACGGTCACGGTGAGCCCAGTCCGTGACCGTGACCGTGACCGTGACCGTGATCAACCCCTCGTGACCGTGACCAAAAAAGTTGGTCACGCCGGACACTACTTGAGACATATGCACTAAAAATAAAAAAGATCAATTTTTTATTAAATAATTGTAGTTGAATTATTCTTACGTGATTAAATCTTGTTTTTCTGGTAATAAAATACTTGTTCCTGAATCTACAGAAAAAGTTTAAAATACTTAGATAAAAAATAAAACTTTGAAATTACCTAAAACATCATCAATTGATGCACCATCAGTACAAGCGTCATTTGAAGATGCAATTGGTGGTTTTTGTAATTCAATTCCAATTTGGCCTTGAATAGAAAAAAGTTTCTTTTCGAAAATTTTTTCGAGTTTCTTGATATCCTTTATCCTGAATAAAGGGAAAAATTCCTAAGCATTTGCGAGAAAAATCACATTACATACCGTTCCTGTTGTTGTTGACCTTTAATTTTTGACTCTATTTTCAATCGGAAATCAACTTCAGGACTACCATCCTGAGGCTAGAAGATCAATAAATATATTGGTATTAAAGCGTATTTAGTGATTTTAATAGAACACTTACTGTAAAATATATTGTCATATATATATCACTTCGTAAAATTCGTACTTCCATTTTACGTTTATTAATTGAATACATCAAAAGAAATCCCCCATCAAGTCCTCATTTAGTAAAATCAAATTGGTTAACAACCTTTTCGAAAAAAAGATGAAATTTATTAATACGAAAGAAACTGTACATGGTTACTTTATCATTTTCCATTAGATCAAAGTTGTACTTTACAAGAAACCAATAAGTGAATACGACTAAAGAATCACCTTTTTGTTCAAATTTATCCGCATTCGTATCAATAAGTGCTTGTAAAGCCGTTTCGTCCATTATTGTT